GCTCTGAGCACACTGAACACACCTAACCACACAAGACCATAATGAGGCAGCACCCACTGGATCTGTAGAACCCATTGATGGGCCACTGCCAGAGGATCACTCTGAGGCCACACATGCCCAATCTTTGTACCCCATCACTGCACCTCTGCTGGTGGAGAGAGCCCCACGAGAACTTTGATCATCAAGAGCTACACACATTGAACTCCTGCTCAACTACACCCACCGGAGTAGTAGGGTAGAGAGAGAGAGATTCCTCCTGTACCCACTGGAAGAAGCAATGGGAAGAAGGCAATACAAGAAAACACCCAACAACAGAAAGACAAGTATGACAACACCAGAATCTAGGGACTCATTACCAACGAGACTGAGCACACTGAAGCAGATGAAGCAGAAGAGAACTACTTAAAAATAACTTCATAAAAATTATAGAGGCCCTCAAAGACAATATAAGTAAATACCTTAAAGAAATGAAAGAAAAATACAAAAAAAAAAATGGAAGAAATAGAGGACAAGGCCAAGTAAAACATGCAAGAAATAAACAAGTCTCTTAAAGAAAGTAAGGAAAGCCAAGAAAAAATAATCAAACACATGAAGGTACCAATTCAAACAGTTTAAGACCAGAGAACTTAAATACAGACAATAAAGAACACACAAACTGAGGAAATGCTGGATACAGAAAAACTGGGAAAATGAACCATAACTGCAGGTGCAAGCATAACCAACAGAATACAAGAGATCGAAGAGAGAATCTTAGGCACTAAAGATGAACTAGAGGAAATAGATTCATGGACCAAAGATAATCTTAAAACCAACAAATCCCTAACAAAAACATCCAGGAAATGTGGGTCACTATGCAATGACCAAATGTAAGAATAGTAGGCATAGAAGAAGGCAAAAAAGCCCAGCTCAAAGGTACAGAAAACATATTCAACAAAATCATGGAAGAAAACTTTTCCAGTCTGAAGAAGAAATGCTTTTGGAGGTAGAAGAAACATACTGAATAGCAAATAGATTGTACCAAAAAAAGTTCCTTTGGCACATAATAATCAAAAAACCTCACATACAGAATAAAGAAAGAATATTAAGAGTAGCAAAGGAAAAAGGACAGGTAACATTTAAAGGCAGACCTATTAAAATTACACCTGACTTCTCCATGAAAACTCTCAAGGCTAGAAGGTCCAGGGTAGATATTCTACAAATACTAAAAGTCCACGAATGCCAGCCCAGGCTACTATACCCAGCAAAACTCTCAATCATTATAGATGGAGAAAAAAAATATATTCATGACAAACCCATATTTTCACAATATTTATACAAATCCATCCCTGCAGAGTGCTCTGGAAAGAAAACTCCAACCCAAAGAAGATAACTATGTTCACAAAGACATAGGAAATACATAATCCCTCTTCAGCATAACGTAAGGATAAAGCAGGGCAAATATATTCACAATACCACAGGCAACAACAAATCTAAAACAAACAAGAATTTACAATCAGTGATCCTTACTTTCCCTCAGTATTAATGGTCTATATATTAATCGTGTATAAAAAGACAGGCTAACAGAATGTATATGAGATCAGAATCCATCGTTCTGCTGCATACAAGAAACACATCTAAGCTTCAAAACAGACATTACCTCAGGATAAATGGGGTAGGAAAAGATCTTCCAATCTAATGGACCCAAGAAGCAAGCAGGTATAGCTATCCTAATATCTAACAAGTTAGATGTTAAACCAAAATCAATCAAAAGAGATGAAGAAGATAATTTTGTATTCATCACAGAAGTCCATCAGCACAAGGTCTCAATTCTGAATACCTATGGCCCAAATACAAAGGCACCAACATTTTTAAAAGAAAAACTAGACTCAAAGCTCACATGAAACCTCACACATTCAGAGTGGGAAACTTCAACACCCCAATCTCACCACTAGACAGGACCACCAGACAAAAAATTAACAAAGAAGGAAAAGAACTAATGGAAGTGATGTCCCTATTGGGTTTCACAGACATCTGTAGAACATTCCATCCAAACACAAAAGAAAATACCTTCCCATCCCTTCTTCCAGTGGGTGCAGGTGGAGTCTCTCTCTCTCTCTCCCCTACTCACCTGGTGGTAGGAGTTGGGTCAGGAGTATGATGTCTGTAACTATGGATGGTCCAAGCTCTCCAGGAATTCTCTCCTCTGGCAGAAATGCTGCAATGGGGTCAAAGATCAGGCAAGCGAGGACTCAGGGTGGTCCCATGTGGATAGGTAGACGGGTCCAGTGTGCTCATAGCAGATACAGGAAGCTTCACATAGTTAAGAAGGGGTTGTTGGACCCACACTCTGTCCCAGTGCTCAACTAGAACAATGGAGCAGAGGGCCCAGTAGGACACAGGGTGGGGGCAGGTCAGGTTCTGGATGGTGTTTTTTTGTGGATCAGAGTATTAGGACTGTACTATCTAGGGATAAGATACAGAGGGGAGCAAGGTTCGGGGTTAACCCAGGGAGTTCCCAGGGAAGGATGTGGAGGGGATTTGGCCTGAACTGGTCCCAAAGTTATCTCTGACACTGGCCCTGTGATGGGTGTCAAAGAAATGTTATCCTGTAAAATGACACAGACTAACAAATTGGATACAAAGACAGTATCCATCTTCCTGCTGCATAAGAGAAACATACCTCAACTTCAAAGACAAACATTACCTCAGAGTTAAGGGTTGGGAAATTTTTTCCTATCATATGGATGCAAGAAATACGCATGTGCAGCAATCCTAATATCTAACAAATTAGACTTCAAACTAAAATCAATCAAAAGAGATGAAGAAGATCATTATTTTATTCATCAGAGAAGAAATCCATCAAGATAAATTTTCAATTGGGAACATATATGCCACACATACAAAGGCAGCCACATTAGAAAAAGAAACATTACTAAACCTCAAATCACACTTAAAACCTCATACTTCTATAGTGGAAGACATCAACACACCACTCTCACCACTAGACAGGAACAACAGATAGAAACTTAACAAAGAAACAAAAGGACTAACAGAAGTTATGACCCAATTGATGGCAGCAGACATCTATAGAACATCCCATCCAAACCCAAAACAATATACTTACTTCTCAGTGCCAAATGAAACCTTCTCTAAAATAAAAAACATACTCAGCAAAATAGCAAACCTCAATCGTTACAAAACATTAAAATAACCCCATGTATTTTTATCTGATCACTATGCTATAAAGTTAGAATTCAACAACAACACAAATTCCAGAAACCCTACAAACTCATAGAAACTGAACAATGTGCAATTGCACCACTCCTGGGTCAAAGAAGAATTAAAGAAAGAAATTAATGACTTCCAAGAACCACACTGAACATTTCAGAAGAGAAAGTAGAAGGTATCTTTGAACGAATTGTCACAGTAGACTTCTTCCTGAACATAACACCAGTAGCACAGACACTGAGATCGACAATTAATAAATGGGTCCTCCTGAAACCAAAAAGGTTTTTCAAGGCAAAGGACACAGTCAACAAGGCAAAATGGCAGCTCACAGAATGGGAAAACTTCTTCACCAGCCCCACATCCCACAGAGGGCTGATTTCCAAAATAAGCAAAGAACTTAAGAAACTAGTTACCAAAACACCAAATAATGCAATTGAAAAGTGTGGCATATGGACGTCCAGTGCACTGCTCAGAGACTCCTGAGAACTCAGGACTGTGTTTAGGGAGCCTGTCCTGGTGGACTGGCCTAGCTAGAGTCTGCCAGCATCCTGGTCCCACCTCAAAACATGGTAGGAGGTAAGCTTGGGCCTGTTTCCAACCTGCCTTCTGGGACACTGCTTGGAGCCTCCTGAGGCCTGGGGCCTGCACACACATGGGAGAGACTATCTAGGTGGACCAGCCTGTCCAGAGTCTGCCAGTGTTCTGGCCCTGCCTCCACCCTGAGAAAAAGCCTGCAATCAGGTGCCTGGTTAGAGCCTACTGAGGACTAGGGACTGTGTGAGGGGGGGCCTATACTGGTGAACCATCTCATCTGTATTCTGCCTGTGTCCTAGTCCCACCTCCACCCACTGGAGGGGGTAAATGCTGGACCGTTTCTGGTTGACCTTCCAGGGCCCTTGCCTGAGCCTCCTCAGGCCTCGGGACTGACCACACAAAGGGGAACCCGTCCCAGCAGACAGGCCTATCCAGAGTCTGCCAGTGTCCTGGAATAGTTCCTAGATTTTGATTTTTTCTGTCCAACACCAATTGGGTCTTTTTGTTTGTTTGTTTGTTTTGATATGAGACAGAATCTCTGGATGTTATTTTAACAACATGCTTGAATTTAGAGAAAGAAAGCCAAATCGAACTGCAAAGCCAGCATTGGTTTTAACATGAATTGGGAATACCAGAGTACTAAGAAGTAAGGAGATAAAGATTTTTATGTATAAAGATGCTACTAATAATAGATATTGGTGCTGGGTGGTTGTGGCACTTGCCTTTAATCCCAGTATAAGGATTAAAATATAGGACTCAATTCTTTTCCCTGGTTCTTGTATCTTATTCCAAGTATCCAAAGCTGCTGTGTGCACTGGGACAAGATATCTTCATCAAATTCAGCTTGAGTTTCTGCATCAGTATAAAGATCCTCACCAAGAATTTTATCTTGGGGAGACGTATACCCTTTCTTTTTGCCTTGATGTTGTAGTGCCTTGGCCTTTTCCCTCGATAAATTCCTCCACTCAATTTGAGGACCAATTTGAAGGACAGCTGAGACTAATTGGCCCCAACCATTAGGGGTTTCCATATATCCATATATCTTGTTGTCCATGACTCTATTATTTGCCTCACATATGGTAAATGCACGCCATAAGAGACTACTGATTCCTTTATACCTTTTAAATCAAACAAACTTCCCAAATGAGATCAGCATTTCTGATGCTAGCACTAGGTGGGCTCTCGTGGTCAGCAGGATCAGGAAGTGAGCAGGGCAGGAGCCTTTTGGCACACTCTGCCACATGGAGCTATGCACTCACATGCTCCTGGAACTGAATGATGGTTTCCTTGTGCTCATCTGCAGTGCTGTCCAGGTGCTCCAGCCACAGCTCCAGCTCTTTCCACGTGTGTTCGAACACACCGGTGTCCCAAAGAATCTGTTGGCAGCAGAGCCATGCAAATGTCAGAAGGAACCCTGCTTTCACTCCAGTGTGCCTCAGGTGTACTCTACAATCCCTTCTCCTGGCATGAACCCCCACTGCCAAGGACGCCGGGTAAAGACATCACTCCACACCCCATTGGGGACAACATGGTTCCTTTCTCATTGCTGTATATTCCCTTTCCTTTCCTAACCCTGAAATAAGAAGAATGAACCAGGTGGTTCTTAAGGAACTGGTTTATGATAGGGATTTTCCCAAAGAACTGATCAGCATGTGTAATGACCCCTTTCAGTGAATCAACCCTTAGCCTGAGGAGACTCCAAGCCAAGGCAAGGAGGATACCATTCCTACCAGGGCAGAGCTTGGCGTGAGGAGACTCAGGGTCTAAGTGCTCTTGTGATGCAGGGCCCTGTGCTGGTGTGCACCAACTCCTGGTGACTGTCAATCCCGCGCTCTCGCCTCCACAGGTGCTATTATTAGCAGTGACACCTGGGATGGGCAGTGCAGAGATGGAAATGGTGAGCGACAGGGATTCAAACAGGGAGGTCTTCAAGCACCTCAGATGAGCAGCTCTGAAGGAAAACTTCAAAGTGACATTGTGGCACTGTAAAAGCACTGACTGCCACTGTTAGTGCTTCTGAGCGGGGTGTGGAGATCTTGCCTCAAACCCATGAGTCTGACTGCTACTGGAGAAGGGCTCAAGGGGTGTAATAGGTGCCAATTTGAAGGACAGCTGAGACTAATTGGCCCCAACCATTAGGGGTTACCATACATCTTGCTGTCCATGACTCTATTAATTGCATCACATATGGTAAATGCATAAGAGACTACTGATTCTTTTATACCTTTTACATAATATATATATATATATATATATATATATATATATATAGGCTTCAAAAGACATTAAATAAGACCTTAAGAATGTATTTTAGTTGCTGTTTGTTCAGTAATAGTAACAGGGCAAACCATAGGGATGGAATTTAGACCTTTGATAAGTCGTCTCTGACTCTGAAAGTTACTGGTGATGTTAAATCCCTTTCATTTTCTATTGTTTGTATCTCTGCTTCTGATGTATCAATTTTAAGGTTTTCTATGGCATGTAATCTATTCATCATTATTTCTCTGAGTGTTTGAATTTCCTGGACAATATAAACTTTTAAGGATTTCATTAAATTAGTCAGTTTAATGTTCTCTCTCTCTTTTTTTTATATGATTCTGGAGATTTAATATTGTCATTCTTAGAGATTATCTGAATGGCATGTAGATTACCTTCCAAAACAAGGTTCTGCCTGCTAGCTTGTCATTAGTCTCAGACATAAAACAATTTTTTCCCATGAGTATTTCAATTTTATGTTCCACTTTTTGCATTCTGTTTATCTAATCATCAGCCTTGGAACTAAATTTTTCTGTTAGCAGGCCAGTTTTATGTTCAATATTTTGCATTGTTTGTAGAATCACCATTGATTTTTTAAATGTTCTGAATCCTTTATTTCTAAGCTCTCATTATTAGTCTGTAAAGTGTTTTCAGTGGTATGAATCCTTTTTTACTAAACAACATTACCAGTTTGTAAAAGGTTGTATGATTTCTATACGTTCCTCATTATTTGCTCTATTGTCATACCATTTCTTTAAGGATATTATATGGATTATCAAGCTAATGGCCACCATGAATAATAAATATTTTCAGCGTAGGTCATAAACATATTCCAAAATCCCATCCATATAAGAAAATAAAAGTTTTTTAATCTCTTTTATGTTAATAGTATCTGCCACTGCTGTGGGGTAGTTAATTGTACCTTAAGTAGATCTCTGGAACATGGAGATTTGAGACATTATTGGCTCACATAGAACCTTGCAGCTTGGTAAGAAAATATGAGCAGAAAGAAAAACCACTGCAACTCAAAGCTTTGGGATACTTTCCAAAGATGCATGCCTGCAAATCCACACCACAGAAAGAGCCCAGCCAAGACAGGCCTCAGAAACTGAAAACTCAGTGGATGGAGCAATATATAAAAGCCATGGGCTTTTCAACCAGCCACATGGGGCATTTGTGAGGACCCATGCTAGCAAGTTGGACGCCAAGTGAAGGTGAGGATGTAACTATTTCACTAGACCCAAGATAAATGATAAATGGGTGTTTATTGGAGAAAAATTACACACACAAATACAAAGAAATGTGGGAGTATTTCCCTGCTCTTTTTACCAGATCAATGAATCCACCAGAAAGAGTGTGCCAAGGAAAGCCATGCCTCAAGCTTCCCTATTTCTGCTTCCCTCTTGGGTGTGACCATTGTCACAAGTTCAGTGCAAGACTGCTACATAAGAGATTCTACTAAAATCAGGAACAAGACTCTCCATACTCTCTAAATCTATTTAATATAGTACTCAACGTTCTAGCTGGAGCAATAAGACAACAAAAGGATATCAAGAGGCTACAAACTATAAAGGAAGAAGTCAAATATTCACTATTTGCTAGTGTACATAAGTGACCCCAAAAGATCTATCAAGGTGACTGACAGTTAATAAACACCTATAATAATGTGGACAATGCAAGATCAACTTATAAAAAACAATAGCCCTCCTATATACATATGATAAAAGGGGTGTGAAAGACCTCAGAGTAACATCACACTTTATAGTAGTCACAAAAACATGAAATATATTGGAGAAACTCTAACCAAAGAAGAGAAAGACATGATTAACCAGTACTTTAAGGCTTTGAAGAAATAAATTGTAGATTTTAAAAATGGAAATATTTCCTGTGCTCTTGGATAGGGAGGATGTACATAATGAAAATGGCAATCTTAGCAAATCCAATCTACAGATTCAATGCAATTCCTATTAAAATATCACCACAATAATTCATAGAACCTGAAAGAGCAATACTCAACTTCATGTGGAAAAAAATAAAAAGCAAACAAAAAAAACAGAATAGCACATACAATCCTATACAAAGAACTTCCAAAGGCATCACGATCCCTGACTTCTAACTCTATGATGAAGTTATAATGATTAAAAAAAAAACATGGTATTGGAATAAAAACAGATGTTTGGATCAATGGAAATTAATCAAAGACACTAACATTAATCTATACACCTGTGAACACAAGATTTTTGACAAAGAAATCAAAATGGTACAATGGAAAAGGGAAAACATCTTTAATAAATAGTGCTGGCATACCGGATGTCAACATGTAGAAGATTACAAATAGATCCATATCTATCGCCATGGACAAAACTCAAGTCAAAATATATCAAAGACCTCAACATAAAACCAACCACACTGAACCTCAAAGAGGAGAAAGTGAGAAGTAGTCTTGAATCTATTGACACAGGAGACCATTTCCTAAATATAACACCAGTAGCAACAATCAATAAATGGGACTTCCTAAAACTGAAAAGCTTCCATAAGGCAAAGGACACTGACAAGACAAAGCAACAGCCTGCAGAATGGGAAAAGATGTAAATGAAACCCTCATACCACAGAGGGCTGATATCCAAAATATATAAAGAACTCAAGAAACTAGACATCAAGATAAAATAATCCAATTAAAATGGGGCACATTGCTAAATAGAGAATTCTCATCAGAAGAATCTCAAATACCAGAAAGACATTTAAGGAATTGTTCAACATCCTTAATTGTCAGGGAAATGCAGATCAAAATGACTCCGAGAAAACATCTTATACCTGTCAGGATGACTAAGATCAAAATACTGAGCAAAGCATGTTTTGGAGAGGGTATGGAGTAAGCAGAACACTCCTCCATTTCTGGTGTTAGTGCACAATTGTTCAGCCACTTTAGAAATCAGTACGGCAGTTTCTCAGAAAATTGGGAATCAATCTAACTAAGACCCAGTGACACCACTTTTGAGCATATACCCAAAGAATGTTCAATCATACCACAAGGATACTTGCTCAACAATGTTCATAGCAGCATTATTCATAATAGCCAGAACCTGGAAACAACCAAGATGCCCCTCAACCGAAGAATGGATAATGAAAATGTGGTATATTACACAGTGGAGTATTACTCAGCTGTAAAAAAACAATGACACCATAAAATTTGCAGACAAATGGCTGGAACTAGGAAAAAACACCCTGAGTGGGGTAACCCAGTCTCAGAAAGACAAACTAGGTGTATGTACTCACTAATAAGTGGATAGTAGTTATAAAATATAGAATAACCAGAGTATAATTCACAGTACAGAGAAATTAGGAACAAGGAAGACCCTAAGAGAAACACATGGATTACCCTGGGAATGGAAATTATATGAGATCTATGGGGTAAACTGTGTGCAGGGGTGAGGTAAGGGGTAGAAGAGGAGGAATGGGAACATGAGGGAATGGAATGGGGAAGGGGAAAGGGATGAAGTAGAAGACCAATGAGACAGATATTTTAATAGAGAGAGCAACTAAGAAGTTAGGAATAAAATTTGTGCTAGGGTAACTCCTAAGAACACAGAGGGAGGACTCTACCTAAGACTTAGTAATCGTGGAGAGGCTACAATGAACCTGCCTACCCCTGTAATCAGATTGGTGAATACCCCAGTTATCATTATAAAGGTCTTCATTCAGTATTTGATGGAACCAGACACAGAGGTTCACAACCAAGAATCAGGCTGAGCTCTGTGAAGCCAGTTGAGAGGTGGAAGAGGGAATATATGAGCAAGACAGGTCAAGACCATGATGGAAAAGTGTACAGAGACAGCTCAACCAAGCTTCCAGAAACTCATGAACACTAGACCTACAATTGTGGAGACTATAGGGGACTGAACTAGGCCCTCTGTATGTGGGAGACAGCTGTGAAGGTTGGTCTAGCTGAGGGGCCCTTGGCAATAGGACCACTATACAAACTTGGAACATGAGCCAGCTTGTTGGATCCCACTCCCTATGGTGGAAGCCATGCTAAGCCTTAATGCATGGGAGGGTGTCCAGGCTCTTCCTCAACCTACTATGCCAGACTATGTTGACTCTTCATGGGAAACCTTACCTGTGAGAAATAGGGGAATGGGGGTGGGCTTGGGGTTAGGCAAGGGGTAGTGTGAGGAGGTGAGGGGGACAGCAGGAGGTGTGGGAAGGAGAACTGTGGTTAGAATGTAAAATGAAATTTAAAATAAAAAATAGTATAAAGTAGAAAAAAACAAGTATTATGTAGGTATCTTACTCTCATCTATTTACAACTACTGCAGGCCTCTTAAAGATTAGTTCCTGTCTCCAGGCATTGTCATAAACAGAAAGTGACCTTGTATTCCAAAAACAACAGACCTTGACTGTGAGATCACACTGAATGCAGAGCAATACTTTTGCCTGGGAATTCTGAGTACTGGAGTAAAAACATTCACACAAGGGATCCAAATGCTCTGCTATGGTAAAGAGCACCAGATATATGAGGTAATATGGGCAGGACCTCACCTTCAAAGGTATTCCTTAAAGATACAAACTCCCTGCTCCCTTTCCTGAATTATTCCACTTTTAAAACTGAACATTTGGTTTCTCCTCACAAGTTGGATTTGGAATCTCCAGACTACTTTATCTCTTCCTGTTCCCAATACATGTACTGACATTACTTTTTACCTTGTCTGTTGTCTTCATTTGTGTAGTGGGAAGTTTTATCAGGCCTAGACTTTCAGTATGACATGAGCACGGAATTTGGCATTACACTCCTTTCAAAGCAATAGAATGCAGCAACAATTTGTACCAGAGTGATATTGACTAGAATGACTACCTATATTACCTCATCTTTCTCCTTAGGTACCTTAACTGGTACTTTCTCTTCCTCTTCCTCTACTAAAGTCTCATGCCACACATGATTCTGGAAATGGGACTAAGGGGACAGGACCAAAGTGAAAATACAGCTGTTCAACATAATACTGGCAGCAGTCACTCTCCCCAGGGGTTGGGATGCCTCTTAGCAAAACACTGTTTTCCGGTTACACCCAGAGAAGACAAAAAGTTTCAGAAGCTCTCCTTTGAAATACAGACTCAACATTCCAGCCAGCAGCTCCCTCCACCATCTCCCCAGTTTGGAGAGGGTATTTCATTGTTTCAGTTGGATCATCTGATTCTCATTTGGGAAGAAATGGGTTCAGGGCATTGCTATTGGCTCAACCATATTCAATACAATCCTCAAACTCTTAACAGATCTTTCACACAGCTGAATCATGCCCACATGCTACCAAGTTTTTCAACACAGTGATCCCTTGCCTATCAGAGTAGATTGGAAATGCTTGGTATTTCAATATCCCCACCAAGGGGAAGTCTTCAAAGACAGTAGACATTTTCGGTGCACAGTCGGCCTTCCTGCCTCCAATAAAGCAGACCCTTCAGTAGTACCAAGGGCACAAAAGTACTGCTTTGCTCTCAACAGAAAGTATGGCTGAAATGTCCCCAATCTGATATATGCTCAAGTTCCTTTGTATTTTTTTGGTTGTTTGTTTTATATTTTCATTTTAACAGCAAACCTCTCACCCTACGGTTGGTCCTTTGAGTTATGTCATTTTCATTTCACTTGTACTTTTGCCTGACATAGGGAGTTGGCACTATCCAAACACATCATA